AATGAAGAGATGGCTTTTTGAGACAATTTTTAAAAAATGATATACCATTGTATTAACTAACCGAAAAAAGGAGAAGATTCAAATCAATAAAATCAGAGATGAAAAAGGAACTGTAACAACAGATGCCACAGAAATAAAAAGAATCATCAGAGATTACTACAAAGAGCTATATGCCAACAAACTAGGAAATATAGAAGAAATGGATAGATTCCTGGTTTTTTGTATAATCTACCAAAACTGAGCCATGAAGAAATAGAAAACCTAAACAGACCAATAATCAAGAGAAAGATTGAATCAGTAATAAGGACTCTCCCAACAAAGAAAAGTCCGGGATCAGATGGTTTCACTGCTGAATTCTACCAGACATATAAAGAACTAGTTCCAATTCTTCTTAAGCTATCCATTTGAAAGGGAGGGAATCCTCCCATACAACTTCTATGAAGCCAGCATCACCTTAATTCCTAAACCAGAAAAAGATACAACACAGAAAGATAAGTATAGACCAATATCCTTGATGAACATAGGTAAAATACCCCTCAACAAAATACTAAACATTCAAATCTAACAATGTATCAGAAATATCATTCACCTGGATGAAGTGAGATTCATCCCTGATATGTAGAGGTGGCTCAACATTCACAAATCAATAAATGTGATACATCACATTAACAAATTGAAGAACAAAAATGATTACTCAATAATACAGAGATTAGCTCAACAGAATGATTATCTCAATGGTACAGAGAAAGCATTTGATAAAATACAACATCCTTTTATGATGAAAACCTTAAGCAAATTGGATTTAGAAGGAACATTCCTCAACACAATCAAGGAAATTTATGACAAACGCATGACCAGCATCTTATTGAATGAGGAAAGGTTGAAAGCATTCCCACAAAGATCCAGAAGCAGACAAAGATTCCCACTCTCAATATTACTATTCAGTATAATCCTGGAATTTTTAACCAGAAATATTAGGCAAGAAAAAGAAATCAAAGGGATACAAATTTAGAAGGAGGAAGTCAACCTCTCCCTATTTGCAGATGACATGATTCTATATATAGGCATCCAAAAGATTCCACTAAGGACTATTGGAATTCATGAAAGAGATTGGTAAAGTAACAGGATATAAAATTAACACACTAAAATCAACAGCCTTTGTATACACAGACAACACCATGGTCAAGAAAGAACTTCTAAGAGCAATCGCATTCACAATAGCTACAAAAAGAATTAAATGTTTTGGAATAAATTTAACCAGGACATCAAAATCTCTGATAAAAATTACAAAATATTAAAGAAAGAAATAGAAGAAGACATAAAAAAGTAGAAAAATCTTCCGTGTTTATGGATTGGAAGAAAGAATATCATCAAAATGTCCATACTAATGTAAGCAATCTACAGATTTAATGTGATTCCAATCAAATTAGTAAGGATGTTCTTCTAAGATCTAAAAAAATCAATGCTGAAATGCATATAAAAACACATGAGACCCTAAATAGCTAACTCATTCGGGTTTTTTTTAAAAGATTTATTTTATTTATTTGAAAGAGTTACACAGAGAGAGGAGAAGCAGAGAGAGAAAGAAGTCTTCCATCTGATGGTTCACTCCCCAATTGTCTGCAACGGCCAGAGCTGAGCTGATCTGAAGCCAGGAGGCAGAAGCTTCTTTTGAGTCTCCCACAAGGGTGCAGGGGCCCAATGACTTTGGGCCATCTTCTACTACTTTCCCAGGCCATAGCAAAGAGCTGGATCAGATGTGAAGCAGCCAGGTATCGAACCGGTGCCCCTGTGGGATGCCGGCACTTCAGGCCCGGGCATTAACCTGCTGCACCACAGTGTCTGCCCCACTAACTCATTCTTATACAATTAAAAAAAAAAAAGCCAGAGGTATCATAATACCAGATTTCAAGACATACTACAGGGCAGTTATAATCAAAGTAGCCTGGTACTCGCAAAAAACACCTGACGTCTAGAACAATGACATAGAATAGAGACTTAAGAAATCATTCCACACATCTACCTACTTATCTTTGACAAAGGAGCTAAAATTAATCCCTGGAGCAAGAACAGTCTCTTCAACAAATGGTGCTGGGAACATTGGATCTCCACATGCAGAAGTATGAAGCAAGAAAGCAAGACCCCTACCTTTTTTTTTTTTTTTTTTTTTTTTTTTTTTTTTTGACAGGCAGAGTTAGTGTGTGAGAGAGAGAGACAGAGATAAAGGTCTTCCTTCCATTGGTTCAATCCCAAGTGGCCACTAAGGCCGGCATGTTGTGGCCGATCCGAAGCCAGGAGCCAGGTGCTTACTCCAAGAACCTGGGCCATCCTCCACTGCCTTCCCGGGCCACATCAGAGAGCTGGACTGGAAGAGGAGCAACAGGGACAGAATCTGGCACCCCAACCAGGACTAGAACCCCGGGGTGCCGGTGCCACAGGCAGAGGATTATCCTAATGAGCCGCAGCACCAGCCAAGACCCCTATCTTTCACCTTACACAAAAATCCACTCAAAGTAGCTCATGTACTTAAATCAAATTGCTGATAGAAACATGAAAAAATTCTCAGTATCACTAACCATCAAGGAAATGCTGATCAAAACCACAGAGGTTTCACCTCATTGAAGTTAGAATGGCTCTCATACAGAAATCAACAAATAATAAATGCTGTAATGATGTGGGGAGAAAGATACCCCAATCCACTGTTGGTAGGAATGTAAACTGGTATAGCCACTGTGGAAGACACTATGAAGATTTTACATCAGAAATCTAAATATAGACCTACCATGTGACTACTCCTGGGAATTTACCCAATGGAAATGAAATCAGCATATGAAAATATTATCTGTACCCCCATGTATGTTGCAGCTCAATTTACAATATCTAAGATATGGAATCAACCCAAGTGTCTATCAACAGAAGATTAGAAACAGAAATTATGATATATGTACATCATGGAATACTACACAGCAGTAAAAATAATCCTGTCTTTTGCAACAAAATGGATACAACTGGAAACCATTATAATTAGTTAAATTAGACAGCTCCAAAAATACAAATACCTTACTAATGGTAACTAATAGAGCACCTAAAATATAGTATATAGAAGAAAAATTGACACTTTGAGATGCCATGATTTTTAGCAGCCCTTGTCTCAACTGTTGAGGAACACTTCTTTTCACACTATTTGTAGAACTCTTTACTTAGTGTAGGGTTAATTTTATGAGTATAAAGTTAATCACAAATAGATCTTTATAATAATTTTGAATAGGAATAGGAGAGGAAGGGGAAAGAATGGTAGGAGTGCGGGCATCAAGGAGTGTAGGGTGGGAAGAATCACTATGTTCCAAAATTTGTATAAATAAAAAGTTTCTAGGTTAAAAAAAAAAAAAACAAATAGAAGACAAGAAATCTATCCATACCAACATTTTAGGTGAGAGGAGTTTCACCCTATCAAGAACACATCCTCATTTCATAGATGTAGAGATCAAGACCCTGAGAAGTGAAAGAATAGATTCAAAACCACTGAATCATAAATGGAGCTGAGGATAGAGCTAAAGTCTCTGGGTCTACACATACTTCAGAAATGATCAATCGGGGAAACCAAGAGAATGCAAACAACTCTTTCACAACAGATTGTCTCTCTCAGTATTTCCTATGGCTTTCGAATTCAGCAATCTAATCATGGTAAGTTCATTTGATAAAGCTCAGACAACTTTCATCATAATCACTTTCTCTATGGGCATGGGCCTCATTGGATCACTGTGTCTAAACATAGCACTATTATTTGTATTATGACAGAAACTAACACAAAACTTTTTGAGTTGCTCTGTGCAAGCAGTACTTTAAGAGGTTACTATTTTCTTCCTTAGCAAGATGCTAAGCAGTAGATATTCAAAAATACTGTTGAATGAATGCATTGTGTTTTCCATTTAGGCAAGATCACAACATTAATAGTAAAATAAAATTTTACAGTGGAGGACCATGTTGATCATTTCAGACATGAGTCAAATTCCCAAAGGAAGATAACGCAAGGAAGATTTTGATAAGTGCCCCCCCCACCAAAAAAAAGAAGGCTACAGGAATTCAAATGTGAAGCAATCACATTTTTTGATTTTTGAAAGAAGTGATAACAGTAGATGGGCATAGAAGTTGGTATAGGGAAAAGAGGAATTTGAACGATGGCATTTGAAGCAGACAGAATAGCTTGCAAGAATGAAAGTAGTAAGAAAGCACAAGAAACCTCATGGCTCTTTCTTTTGAGTGAAGTGAAAGGCATCATAGAGTCAGAAATAGGTTAGAAAAGAAGATAACTAGAGCAAGAGGAACTGGCTGGCACAAAGGCACCAGGTGAACATATGGCTGAGTTTATCTGATAAAGTCCTGTTCCAGTTTTGTTGTCCTTGAATAATTACTAATGCAGACTTTTCACTCTCAACGTGTACCAGTCTGGGAAATAAGGTATTCGATCTCCTCACTTGTAGGGAGAAGCAAGATGAGACAGTAATGTAACAGAGGGGTGTTGGACTTCCTTGTTTCATATAATCTGATACATGATTTATTTTCAAGTACATTTCTCTGATTCTGTAGTTACAAATATAGGAACAAAGATTAAAATGTGCTTTATTAGAGAAAGGGCCTTTTCTGTTAACTTTAGAAAAGATGAGCTGGTTCATGGAAAAATGAAGTCGTTTTAATGAAAACTTTTTAATTGGTTTCAAGACAGTTGCCAGACTTGTAACATCTCAGCAACACCTCTATTACAGAGAATTAGGCCCAAATAAAGATGGCCAGAATTTTTACCTCATAGTATGAGGTTGTTACAAGCCAATATGAGAACCATTCCAGCTGGAGCAAATCTTACAGCAGGCAATAGCCAATAAAAGCCATCACATGTATACTTATAAGAACATAGGATGGGCAGGTTCAGTTAGAAAAACTTGAATACAATGTAAATGTGTTTAACATTTTGCTGAATAAAAGTAACTAAAAAGCACAATTACCTCAATTTTGGTTAAGAGGTCTTGCAGTTCTCCTGATTCATTCATTGACAAAATTTTCTCAGCACCCTAGGAACAAGAAAACTATATTGTTAGTATTTGAGAAAACAAAATTTTCTCCACTAAAGTTTAACTGACAATGCACTGAACATGATTTTTCCCTTTAGATCTAAGTAAACTTACAATCAGTAGGGCAACAAAGAGAAATGTCTCTTTAGTGCCACATATCCTCCCATCCAATAAGACTCACCGCAGGCAAGGCCAAGGCTATCAGCAGGAGATGAGCTTTGTGAAGCCTACAGCTGTTACATTAAGCCCCGACTTGGAAGAATCCATCTCACCCTTCAGAGTTGTCCAAGGAGCCAAGTAACAGCTCTACTGTCTGGAAAAGGAGGCTTTGAGGCAATTTACCAGTCTGCATTGTCTCTGTCCAACTCCAAGTAGTCCTGGACATGGCCCCCAATAGAGTTATACATGGAAATATAGCAACAGCTAATAATAATAATAATAACAGTAATCATCATAACAACCAATACTAAGATCATGTTGTGTGTGGGCCACTACACAGCATACCATTTGATGAAGTAGATGTTATTATTAGCACAAATTGAGCTTCAGTGAGATTGAACAAAAGTCCTATGACTATCCAGAGTGGAAGAAAAAAGAGAACATGAACACAAACATGGGATGGACTCCAGAGCTGGTGTTTTAACTTCTAAAACTTCACCATGAAAGCGAGATATGGGGCGATACGTGCACTTTCCAGTAAACTCATCATGCTACTTCAAACTATCCCTTCTTTCTCTGCCTTACCACCCCTTCTTGTCCTATTCTGCTTCCCAACATGTAATCATAGACAGGGAAAAAGGAAAGATTGAAGTAATTATTTCTAATAACAGGCAGAGATGGCATCTGCCTTGTTCATATCATGCTCCCAGTGCTTAGTCCAGAGCATGGCTCAGACTATGGATTGAATCCATTTTTTTTTATTTTTTTTATTTTTTGACAGGCAGAGTGGACAGTGAGAGAGAGAGACAGAGAGAAAGGTCTTCCTTTTGCCGTTGGTTCACCCTCCAATGGCCGCCGCGGCCAGCGTGCTGCAGCCGGCGCACCACGCTGATCCGAAGGCAGGAGCCAGGTGCTTCTCCTGGTCTCCCATGGGGTGCAGGGCCCAAGCACTTGGGCCATCCTCCACTGCACTCCCGGGCCACAGCAGAGAGCTGGCCTGGAAGAGGGGCAACCTGGACAGAATCCGGCGCCCTGACCAGGACTAGAACCCGGTGTGCCAGCGCCGCAAGGTGGAGGATTAGCCTAGTGAGCCGCGGCGCCGGCCGGATTGAATCCATTTTAATGTACAAAACAGGGAGAAATATCATTACACAATAAATATTATTTTAATTTCTTTTGTGCTAAGCAGGGTGGAAAACACAAACACGCATTTAAAAAAAGTCTTAGTTCTTAGAAGAGTTACAACATATTTTTGTGTGAACATACACAGAAAAAAAAACTAATCCACAATGCAGCATGAAATATAAATACTAGATGAGAGATTTGGGGTGAGGAAAGACAGGATAGAAAAATTACAGCAGTAGAGAAGAAAGTTCTGTTTATTCAAATTGATACAGGCAGGCAGATAGGATAAAACTGATTAGATTTGTAAGCTAGAGACCACACCCTCTGTGTGATCTCATGTCTCTACCTGATCTCACCTGGGTGCCCACCTGCCAAACAGACTATGTAACTACTCCCTTTTGGGAGTAGAGAAAAGGCTTTTGGAAAATGCATGGATTGGCTTCTTTTTTGCTATTTCTTACTTTGAGAATGTGCTGTTAGTGCTAATGGAATTCAAGCAGAGAGCCTTGGGTGATCACGGATGTCATACATAAGAGTGTTGTTAAATTAACAACAGGAGTCACTGTGTGCTAACTTCCTATGCAGGGCCCCTGTCCTCCAAGATTTACAGCATTAGAATTAATGGTAAAACTTGTTCCCAAAGATTTACTTTGTTCTAATGTGTTATATTATTATGTGTCATAAGTTCCAGCTGTGTCTAAATGTCAAACTCCATTGCCTGTATTCTTAGGTGCTCATTTAAAGTTAACTAAGTGTCTCAAACATGGACCCTTGGATCTATGTCTCCCTGCAATATTCCTATCTTGTATGGTTTAAGGTCAAATACAGAGTACATAATGGTTCAAAGCCTCAGGGCTATTATGAGACAGTTACTTCAATAATCTGGGAAAGTGAAGATACAGAATTTCACCAGCCAAAGCTTAGGTTCTACACAAGAGATAGATTACCTGAGGTATGTTCTAACTCCAGGAAACCATGCCCTTTCATCAGTCAAGAGAAAGGAAGCCATTCAATGTATAAGGTAACCAAAAAACCTAAAAAGCAGATAAAGACATTTCTGGGAATGGCAGGGTTCCATGAAATATGGATTCCAGGATTCGGGGCCCAGGCTTTTGTATGAAGCTTTAAAAGGCACCCACACCCACACACACACACACACACACACACACACTGTACTGGACAGGGTAGCTACAAAAGTTGTTCCAAAGAATTGAGAAGCTTTTAACAGAAGCTCCAACATTGGGATTCCCAGATGGCAGGACTCTATGGGATTTGGATTCCAATCCTTTATATGGAGCTTTAAAAGGCCCTGATACAAACACACTGTGCTGGACAGGGAAGCTACAAAAGGTGTTCCAAAGAATTGAAGAGCTTTTAACAGAAGTCCCTACATTAGGAACTCCTGAGCAAGCCATTCCTAGAAAGATCCTCTTCAGACCAGTTGCAGCTCAAATGGAAGTGACCTTACCAGGTGCTACTGAGCGTGACTACCTCAGTGAAATTAGGATTAAACTTCTATCTCTTAAGTTTCACAGGTGAATGCAAAAGACATGCCTGCTTACTTCTGTGAGCCAACTGAAGATCTTAGGTCCTCTTCAAAAAAAAAAAGTTAAGTGTTTACTTTCATCACATCAAGACTGCTGGACGTTAAGGCAGACGTGTTGTACCTGCTTCCTCTTTTGATTCTCTCTGAGAGCTGTTGTTGGCAATAAACTCCTTAATGGGTTCTTCTATTATAATTCTCTATGCTCAAGCTAAATGGTCTTATAATCTATATAAGGGTAGCCTATCACCACCATCTGGGAGTCTAAGATAAGTCCTTTCCATCTTCAGGGGCATACAACTTGCAATTGGTTTTGTTCTGTTTTTGCCTATGCTAAATAATAAACTTGTATGTTTCAGAACTCAATGACTTCTAAGAATAACTGACCATGCAGGGGACACAGCCATTGGTGGTGACTGAAAATTCTCTAGCTCATAAAGTATATTTGTTAGATGAGATAGGCAGAGACCAGACAGGCAGGGCCTGGCAACGCCCCTAAGAAGCAGGAAGCAGCTACAGAAGATATGATGATTCTATGTCCTTAAGCATCCCTTAAGATTAAGGTGGAGTCCCTGAGAAAGGAATGATGGAGGCAGGCAGATAGGATAAAGTTGATTAGATTTGTCAGCTGGAGGCCACACCCCTCTGTGTGATCTCATGCCCCTGAATGATCTCACCTGGATGCCCAGGGAGTAGATAAAGGGCCTGGAACATGGCAGGCTCTTCCCTTGTATAGCCTCCGTCCTGCCTGCGCTTTCCTGCCTGCATGCTTACTCCTCATGGCTCACTCCTGGTCTGCCCTCTGCCTGTTACGGATCCAACTTAGCTTCCAGACTTCTTTCTCCCATAATTAAAGCACTCACTTTCCTGTGCATTTCTCTCACTGAAGAAAATCCTTAGAAACTTACCATGTTGTCTGTCTATTTGAGCCAATATTCAAAATTCTTCTCTGAATAGATGGCAAGAACCCACAGGATTATTAATACCTGAAATTATTAATAAGGCTAGACAATATTAAAAACAGAGAAGACTTTCTGGGGTTGGTGGCATTGGATGGGGACCTTGAGACCGGATGAATTTTCCAAGAAAAGGTAGGCTTTTTGTAGGAAAGTGTAGGGGCCACTAGACCTTGGTTTCATTTTGCTTCAATATATCTTCTGTAACTCATATCATCTTAATTGCCATCAGAAATGTCAACCTGGTAGATTAAAATTCACTATGCATGAAAGCCCAGGGCTACAAACAATATACCTCTCTCTAGGAGACAGGTTATATTATTTGATTTTTTTAGCAGTTTTTCTGCTCTTCACACACCTAAAGTAAGAACAAAGATAATGAAAATACCATGGCAAAACATTATAACATAAAACTTGGCAACAAATGGTAATATTTTAGTTTTGCTACATCCTATTTCTTTTAAGAGTTAGCTGAACTAACTTGGGAAAAGTCTCTGGGGAATTTGGCACATGGATAGAAAATATAAGCCTCACTTTTCCCAAATGAAATAAAATGTGCCACAGTGACTCCAAACAAAATGAACATACCAGAAAAGCTATCACATGTCTGCTTCCCAGCTCTTTTCTTATCACAGCATTATGCTTGAATCAGTTCAGAATCCAGTGCTTATGCCAAGAAAAGGACCTACCTCATTATCTTTAAATATGTAAAATGTTCTCGGCCTCAGGCAAATCGTTCCAGCAGCACTACTACTACGGAAGTAGATTGTGCGATACAGGAGCAATGCCGGCTTTGATCACAGCAAGCAACGGACCTAAAGGCATAATGTACACTGATTTTCTTGTCAGTGGTGCTAGGGGTGTATCAAGTGCTTAAGGTTGGAAAAAGTTTGCTCAGAAACAGAGAACAGGCAGCTGAACAGTTCTTTCCCTCTCTGCTGCGGGTACTGGACACGGCCTCCACATTTCTACCTGGCTGGGCCCCAGACGGTTTACTTGAAGAAGCCTGCTGGTCCCTGTGCCTCATGTGGAGCAGTAAAAGTAGTCAAAGCTTCCTGTTCCCCACAAAGTCCCATGTCTCTGTCCTCTACCTGTCATTGCGCAATCTAACTGTGTAGGATCCTACAGGATACAAGGAAATCAAATGATCCTAATAACTGCAGCTGCAACAAAATAGGGATTTTTCAGCCCAACTGGCAAATCTTGGAAAAATTACA